TCTGACATGAGATAAAAAACTGATTATGGCTGTAGGAAATGGAAAGTGCATTTAAAAGTTAAAAACTCATAGGTTTTGCTTGTTAGAGTGGATAGAAAAATGGAAAGAGGGAAAATTAGAAAGAGAGAAATGTGAAAAGATAGAAAACATATTTTTTCTTTCCATAGCATGCTTGGTAGAAAAGATTGAAAAGTTACAAAGGAAATGTAATTTTTATTCCATCCATTGCATGGTAGAGTTGAAAAATGAAAGAAAATGAAAGTCATATTATTTTACCATTATTCCCTTTGTAAGATAAAATATAAAAAATGGTGAATAATCTTGTAAATATGCACCATTGACTCACATCTCCAATTTTTTCTCCTCTTATCATTTCAAATTGGAATGAGTTGTTTTTGTGAATAAGGGTAGAAAATAATCATCTTTCCTATTTTTTTTTCTTCTCTTTCCTACTAAGCACGCTCAAAATTCATTTCTTTATGCTTTTTCACCCCTCTCCCCAATCTATTGTTCCACTTTTTCACCCTACCAAGCATACTTTTATGGTTTAGTGGGCTATATCTCACCATAATTTGTTCTGTTAGACTGGAACTGCAACAACTCTTTTATGTTGTACTTATGTGTTTGCCTTTTTGGATTGTTTGTTGACTTTGGTGCCTAGGCTAGTAAAGGAAATTGTAGATAGATAAGAGCATGCTCCAAAATTAATGATTAAAGCACTCAACCACAAATAGGAGTCTTGAGGCTAGCTAGGCAATGAAAACATTTGTTACCATTTGTCGGTGGGTCTTAAAAACAGTGATGCAATACTCCAATTGAGTGGCGTTTCTCTATGGAAAAGAGAACGGCTTACTGAAAGGTGATGCCAAAAAGAATAGAAAGTTAATAGCATAATCCCTTCTCCCTTTCAGCTGAGTGGATTCTGTGCCTGGCTCTTACCATTTAGAAAACAGATGAGATATTTTTGTCAACAGGAACTGTTATTATATATTCATTAGGGGTGAGCAGAAATTGGTTCAAACCAATTTAACCAACCAAAACCGATGAAAAATGATCAATTTGATTTGGTCTATTTGGTTTTGGTTTTAGTCAGTTTTTTTGGATCGATTAAATTGATTAAATTGTTTGGTTTTCAGTTCTTAAAACTAATAACCAAACTGATCGGATTAATTGACTTTTTAATAATAAGAAAAAAGTTGAGATGAGTATTTTTATTTATCTTTTTCTTGTAAAATGTTATTAAAATTATTAAATTCTTTAGTGATTTCGTTTGAATGATACTTAAATTTAAGTTTTATTAAATTGAATTTATAACTAAATAATTGTTTATAATAAAAAAAAATGATAAAATGTTCAGTTTTTTAACTGAACCAATTTTAGTTAGTTCGGTTATGATCGGTTATTTAAAATTTTATGTTGATTCAGTTATTTGTTGAATGAAAGTTGATTAATTCAATTATTGATTTTTTCGAACCGAATTGATCAATCACTCATCCCTGTAGATATTTAGAAATTTTCCATTAAAAGAAAAGATAATATACAAACTTTTCCAGCACTCTTGTCCCTCATCCTTGAAAAGGCACCGGATTTACAATGAATTTTGTCTGTGGGGGCATCTAGTTTTGCAACTGCAAATGTCATTTTCTAGGTTTGTAATGTTAGTGTTACACCTTGATGGAACACATACTAACTTAATGCTATTGAAATGTACTCTGACAACAAAAGGGATAAAGTTTTAATGAAGCCTTCACTCCTTGAAAAGGGATGAAAGAAGGAAATCTCGTAGTTTGTTTGAGCCTGTTTATTTATGCTTCACCTGAGCTTGCTCTTCGAAAGGAGCAAATCTACCTAATTAGCTAATACCATTTGTCCTTTGTAGGTGGAGGAAATGAACTGTTTAGTGGATGAACTTGTGAGTGTGACTGCAAAGGAAAGGGTTTTGCTTGAACAATGTAAAGATTTTTTGTCCATGTTAGCTGCCATTCAGGTAAACGTAGCATTTTGTTTTATATTCCAAGCTATTCTCCGCCTCATCTGCTCATGCGGCTCATTGTTTAAGGACGGTTCTTTTCAATAGGTTAAGGACTGTAGCTTGAGGACACATATAATACAACTAAATCGTGTACCCACTACCAGCAGCCGGACAACACGTGTAGAACTGATCTTATTTGACTAATCACTCTAAATGCTAACAACATTACACACCCAAGCTCATGTTTTTTCAATGGGTGGAGGCGGCACTGGACAAAATAAGAGTGGATTGAATATAGCTAGGCTTGGCTTCTCATTTTAGCAGTTTTGGAACCAGTTGTCTTCAATGATCACGCATGTAATTTTTTTTTTTTTTAATTTAGGGAAAGTGGCATATCCTCTCAACTGACTTCTGTATACAAGAACTCTCTTATTTTTTTCTTTTTTTTTTAGGTAAAAGAAAGCCTTGTCTATGTAAATATGTAAAGTTCACCCGATAACTAATTACCATGTATTTCTTTGTCTACTTTGATTAATCATCTAAGTATGATCTTGTTGATGCTTGTTCAATCAAAAGACAGTCCCCATTTCCATTTTCTCCAAATTCAATGAAGTGCATCCACTTTGATTTTGTGTAATTATAAGCAAGATTGGTGCAGGAAATTGAATTCTGCTTTCTTGCCCGAATTGAATAAACCACCTTGATCGAACAGCGATCTGCTGAAATTTCTTTGTCAGAGCTTATCTAAATAGGGTGAGACGGGTAATGAGGATTTCGGCATCTGACACGGATGGATATGATCAACGTACAAGGCTCAAAACCAAACACATGATTCATGAAACACGAGGCAGAGTCAGGAGGGACCTGGTGAAGGAGCTGACAAAATAGTATTCTTGATTTTCTGCCTACATTCAATGTTCCCAACATACTCGGTAGCTTGGAGGGTCAAATTCTGTTTCAGTTGCAAATTTCAATGGTATGATAAAACTAGGATCATGTGTTCCAGTGAAAATGGGATTGGTTTTATTGACAAAAGCGGTGGAAGCTTAGAAAATAAGTAAAGGAGAATTACAAGATGAAGCTCAACTTTTCACAAATTTATCTTGAGTGAATTGTATTTAATTTTTTTTAATAAAAGTGAGTGAATTATTTGAATTTATTCTGAATTCCATTTAATATGTAAGCAATTCATCTTTCATAATCTTCCTTTTCCGATATTGGAAGCAACGGTCATCGTTCATCAATGTTTGAGAAATCTATTTCTTTAAATGATAAATTATAGTAACTCTAGTATCTAATGAAATTTAGGTAAAATTTTTAGTATTTAAGTAGCTGTCAAAGTGAGATCGGAGAAGAAGAAAAAGAAAAGGAAAACTATGGATGAAGAGAAAAAGGAGACATTACAGCAATATTTGAGCAAACAACCAAAGTAGTCATCGACAACTCACGTTTCAGTTCCGGCGAGTGGGGAGCTCAAAACCCCTACGCCCACCACTAACATGGGCTGCCTTGCCTCCGCCGGTTACTCTTTTTCTTTTTGACCTCCACCTCCCTTACTGTGCCTGCGCCTTAGACTTTCCTTTCTTCGCATTGTCATCACGTGCTACAATTTCAAGCCGGCTTTGATCGTGACTTCTTAACTTCCTTCGTCTCTTTCTTATTTTACTTCGATTTTTTTTCCCGATGCCAAAAAATTAAAATTATTGATTCTTTATTCAACAAAGCAAGAAAAATATAAGTGATATTTTATAACTATCAATTGAGTCGATAAAAATCAAATGATTTTCATAACTATCGATTTTTATAAATTTAATATAAGTGATATTTGCGGTATGCTTTAATAATAAAATGAAATACTATATCATTGCCTATATAAATTTTTTTATCAAAAAAATAATTATTTTGTTTTGTTCTTTCCAACTTCCTTTTCTTGTTTTTTATTTGAAGATTTTAAAACTCTTTTTGAATAGGTAATTCTCTTCTTCACTGCAAAAACACCCTGCTAAGGTTTTGCTTTTCTTTTTTAATAGACTAGTAACATTCCTTTTCATGATTTTATATTGTAAATGGCTAAGATATTGCAAAGCTTGAATCCCATTATCAGCAAATTTTTTTAAAATAATTTATAAATTCAATATTTATATATATATATATATATTGTAATTTATCAGCAAAGCTGTAGTGCATTTGTGTCCCCATTCATTCCCATTCCTATCGGGCTTTGAAGAAGGTTCGATTTCCATGAGACCACTATTTGATTTATGGACTGCGGTGATGCCGGGAAACATAAAAAAATCAATTTGCAAAATGCAATTGAATGGACCCCAAACCCCAATCCCAAACAATTGAGAAGAAAAAGACAAGGGGTTTTCTTTCACAAGCCTAAAATTAAAAACTATTGGTTTCACAAAGAGACCAAAAGCAAGAAGAAAAATGCATGGCTGACAGTGCCTTCCACCACAGTTCCATTTGATATTGATACACCGACATGCTTCCGATGGTTTGATAGTAGGTTGTTTCTTCTAAAAAAATAATTTCTTTGATGGATTTTTTTTTTCTTTGGCATAAGTCACTTGTAAAATGACTCTTTAAAGTAACCAAAAGCCAGTCTCACATTGAAGTAGTTTGTTTCCAATGCCATATTCTTTTCTTGACGTCATAAATGCCAGTGTTCAACAATTTTGAGCAAATTCAATGCTTTCAAGCATGATTTTTCTATTAAAAAACCATCCTATAAATCACAACAATTGATTTCTCAAGTAGTCATGTATGTCAAAATGGTTTAATTTCGTCAATAATTGCATAACATGGTGACAAATATTAGATTTTTAATTTTAATTATTATAACTTAATATGACAATTTCAAAAATAAAAAATAGTTTAATTTCTAATTAAGTGAAAGAGGCGTTTTCATTAAAAAACATAAATTCGGAAGTGAAAATTATACAAAATCATTCATGCATGTCTAAAGTACAAGCATAAATGATTTCACTTGAAAACGAAAATGAAAATGGGAATTAAAGACGACTTCTTCAGTTCTTCTTATTCAATAACTCATAAATATAAAGCTTTTTTAATAAGGGTAATTCGAAATTCTACAAAATTTCATGGAACTTCAACATGCCGAATATGAAGGAAAAGATCATACATCTTATGGTAACTTAAATCAAAATTACTAAGTTCCAAAAAAGATTGAAAGTTTTCTCAGATGAATAGTCTCATAAGCTTTTGTTCACCGCCGCCCTTTGAACTACTGCCATCTCCAGGAGAACGGCTTCCCAACGTTGTCGTTTCTGACTCCTCCGACGACGGCGTAGCTTCTCTCATCCTCTTCACCGTTCTATCATCACCGATCATCAAGCAGAGATCAATATCAGTAGCTTTACATTTAATCACTTCATCGAAATCCTTCATTTTCACAAAATCATGCTCTTTTGTCCCAAAAAACTGCCCCCCACCAACCGTTTCTGAAACATCCTCAAAGTCTGACCCTGAAACCCCACCGCTAAATTCGGGCAGCGGGTGCAACGTGCCTCCTTGAAGCACCGTCTGCACCGCCGACTGGCAGACGTTCCAGTTGCGTGTCCACAGCAACCCAACGGCTCCACTCACGGGGTTCACCATCCTCCCCACGGCTTCAAACAAAAGTGACTGAAACAAAGCTGCAAACCCATATGAAAACAGAGAAAAAGCCAATGACTTTTCATTATTTCAAGGATATATATAAAACTAGTAGAACATAGAATTACCAGGTCTTTGAGTCTGGGGCACGGAAGAAAGGAAGGACATAAGGCCAGCGCGGCCAAAGAACCTGGCGACGAAAACGGTGGCGTGGGCTTGGGCTTGAGGATTGTCTATACATTGCAAGCTTTGTCTAAGAATGCAATTTTCACTGCACCCTTTTCGGAGAACTCTACAGCCATTGCAACTCATTGTGAAGAATCTTTCAGCATAAGAAGAATGGGAACAATGGAAGCTAAGAAAAATGAATAGATAAACAGAGACTTATATAGAGAGTGCATGTGGAGAAATGTGGGTGATAATTGATAATTGGGATGTGGGTTAAGTAACCATGGTTTATTTTGTGGAGTTAACTGTGGTTAAGGGGAATTTGACAAACTGATTTGTGGTGGGTTTTGGGGTTCCAAAGAAATGAGTGAGGAGCGGCTCCAGGTCTCCGCAGATGGGGAGATTGGGGATGTACCAGGCAGGCAGGCAGGCAGGCATAGCCGTTGGATTCTGTTTCGTGGATGTCTATGACCATGGATTCTTTTCTTTTCTTTTACAAGTCATGGACGTGAAGGCGAAGATCATTTTCAATCATTAGAGATTGTTTGTCACAATCCATAAACTTTCTATTGGATTTTGACTAGAAGATAATGCATTTGTTCATCTAAAGTTTGATCTGCAAGTTTATTTGAAGCCTTTTTAGTCAAACGGTGCAGCTGCCATTCTATTAAAATGAAACTGCAAATTTTAAAATTGATTTAGTTGTCAAATTGACATTGTTTCTCCCAAATCATACAAATCCCAAAATGAAAACTTGGTTATACTGACTGGTTTTATTGAAAGTGTGACGTGGTGAATTTGAGATACTAAAAAAAAAACCACAATTTGGATAGGTTTTGTTGATACCTTTAAACCTGATAATATAAGGTTCAAGAAGCAAGTGCGGAAACTAGGAAGAAAATGGGGTGATGTGAGAGGATGGACGAGGATGACGATAGCGATGAAGCGGACACGTTGAAGTTTTATCCGATACTTTGCTGCACAGCATTTTAATATAAAAGAAACGTGTAGTGAATGTGAGAAGCTAAAATGAAAGTTTATTCTTCTTCTTTTTATATTTTATTTTTTTGGTGGAGAATGGGATTCCAAGCCATGACCATTGGTTTTAACTTTTCTTTGGCTTCATTGACAAATATTGAGTTAAAAAAAAAAACTTAAAAAACAATAAATGTGATTAATAAGATATAATTAATTGAGTTTGAATCGATATAATATTAAATTTAAATTTAATTTAATTTAATTTAATTTAAATTTAATTTTTTAATTTAAATTCAATTTAAAATAAAAATTAAATTATTCAAGCGTATAAGATTAGACTTAATTAACATATAAAAATAAATTTAATTATTATATTTGATAAATTTTTAATTATTTATATTTAAATTTGATTTTAAATTCGAGATATTTTATTTATTAAAATAATAAAAATATATTAAAAATAAAAATTTGATTAAACTTATAAATTATTCAAATCATATATAAAATTACTTAAATTAAATTCTATCAATAAATAAAATTATTCAAATTTAAATTCGATTAAATAATAATTAAATCAAATTTAAATTTTATCTCAATTAAATTTAAATAATTTATAAATATTAATATATTATTTGTACCTCTAATTAGATACGAAGTTAGGGGTAGGCGATATCTGAAACTAAATAAAAGCCTTGGATGGTGAGAGAGTGACGTTTTCATCTTTGGTGCTTTCCTTCACAGCACACAATTCTTTTTTTTTTTTTTCTTTTTAATTGTCCCTTCCAGGGAATAGAAGGACAAATGTGGTTTGGGAAGTGGATTGGGCAAGCATTATACAGGTCAGTTTTTGGTTCTATATATACCATCTCCATGAATCAGAATTTATTGAGATTTTCCTTTTTTTTTTTTTTTTACTGCCCTTTGAGTTGGTTTAGTTACATTATGCAGAAGAGAAAAGCTCTTTTTTTTTTCTTTTCTCCTTCAGTAAAAGAACAATCATGAATCTAATTACATATATAGGTCACTGTAAGTTCAACTTGTTCACAGCTTTCTGATTTCATAGAAATTTTGTTCTTCATTACAAATACAAATATGGTTGGTCAATGCAAGAATGTTTTAACTTCAGTTAACTATATAAAGGTACATTAATCTGAAATTTAATTTATTTGATTTATATAATTACATAAAAATATTTAATAAATTTAAATTTTAAATTCTAATATCAACAACTCTTTTTAATTCAAGTTGCGACATACATTGAAAAAAATATATAAAAGTATATATAATTTGAGGAAGAAAAAATGATAGGCTAACGCCAATCCTTTGTAATAAACGCTCCTAAGAAAATCTTTCCTGGTTGGTTTTGTGTCCGAGTGGAAGCTTATCTCAGAGAGCTCTTAACTTGGGCAGCTTATCCAATACCTTTGAGATAAACGGTACATGAAAAAGGTACAAGCCCATCGAAACGTGAAGTTAACAGCTGTTTTTTTTTTTTTTCTTTTATTTGGAAAGTAAACATTGTAACTTTTGCTGCGTCACATTTAGTAAGATTTTTTCTTTTTTTTTTTTCTTTGATTTTATTAATATTGATTATTCACGTGTTTGTATCATATATTCATATCAACGTAGGAGAGATTGAACTCAAGCTTGGTTTTTCCTGTATTGAATATCTGCTCATTTGTCTTCAACAAACAGGATTGATTGGCATCCTGCAAATATGTACTTTTTACGGAGTTCTCATGAAACATTGGTTGGAAGCTATTAGATCATAAGTGAGAAAATGTATTCTAATAGCAACACTTAATTGAACATCAAGTTAATGTTTTTCTACTGCATTCGCCAGGAGTTTTGCACAACCTTAAAGCAATAGCATGACAGAACCTTCAACAAAGCAACTTGATTGAAAGAAGCAAGGAGTGAATCACTTATCTTTCTACTATTTCGTTACAGAAACATAGCTTTGAAGATTTGAATTGAACCCCAAAAAAATGCACTCAACATTGAATGGCCAATATAGTGAAATCATGGACAGTGGTAACTGAACCATTTGATTTACCACACTCATTTATCTTAATTGTTCACAATCACACTGTTTGAAACACAAACTGATTAATATGATTGATCACTGTACTGAAGTGTTAATCATTGATCTCTGTACTGATTAATATGATTAAGAAAGCTAAAATGTGTACTGCTCATTTACTTTATTTAAACAGCTCTTTGCCAGCTGTGATGCATTACCTGACAACTAGCCTTCAAAACGGCGAGACAAACATCAATCAAATATACGAGTAGCATTGTAGCAACTTGCATGAGTGGCTGCCTCTTTATGCGTCTCCTGTACCTGCCCTCGAGTTCATTATACTTCCAGTAATCATTTTTTCCACAGCAATGTAAAGTTTCTGCAAAATAAGTGTTCTTCCAGACTATATATGCTTCATTTTGTTAATTTAACATGAAACTAGTTTTTGAATTTACTAATACCATTAAGAGAGGTAAAGCCCTAAAAACCCGCCAAAAAGCTAGCTACTATATTCCCTCATTTCTACTAAGAAACTGAATGCCTCCTGTTTCTGGATGGTGTTGACTTATCTTCTTCTGGATTGGCAGAGCCAAGACTCTCTGATGAATCTGAACCAATATTCTCACCTTGGGCTCCTTTGGTTGACCATATCTTTGTAAATATCCTCTTGGACTTCACCAAACCTTTCATTTTACTAATGGCAGCCCTGTCAACACTATTTCTACTATCTCCACCATTTCTCTCACTCCCTCCTACCCCATTGCCCAACCTTAAGGCAGCCAGTTCCCCTTTCAGGACCTTGAGCTCCTCCGCTGTGGCCACTGCATCCCAATCTTCCTCTGGGTCGGTTGCTGCTGATCTTGAGCTTCCATGATATCCGCCATTTAGATCCTTCAGGCCTTTAGGTAAGTCAGGAGTGCTACTGCCTGATGAAGCAGCAGCCCTGACCTGCTCGAAAAAGAGAACCTGCACAACTACACGTAATGGGAGCCTCTCATTTTGCACAGCATGCACACATGCATCAATTGATAGTTTCTTGCAGTCCATTAATTTGCATATTTTTTTTCTCTCACTCTTGCTGATCCCTGGGTGCTCCTGCATTGAAACACAGTAGAATAAAGTTACATATAAGCAAAGTCAGAAGTAAGAAGTAACATAATTGGTTTGCCTTCATAACAATAATAGTTGCAGAGAGAGACTAGGCCAAAAGGTTTATTGAATTAGTAGTTATGGTCTAGGAGAGGCGGTTGATGGCATCACTTCTTAATTTAAAATGGAACATTAGGAAAAGACTTCCAAAGCCAAACTTGGTGGGTATTTAGATGCAACAAAGGCTTAACATAAACTTCATTTCAAGTCAAGTATAATGCAAACACCAAGTTGTGTGCATTGAAAAATATGGACTTTGGCAAGATTCTCACCTTAAGATACATGTCAATGGCTCGGTAGAGCCCATCATGGGCAGGCCGAGAGATGCAAGACACCATTTCAGCAAGGTCTACAAACTTTGACAAGGGTAAGTTGGGATCCTTCGCAATTTCAGCAAGGTATGCATCTATCAATTTTGCCACCATCAGCTTGGAAGCATCTGTTAAAATTCCCGGTCTTCGTATTTCCCGAACCTCATTTTCTTCTGACTCAAATTCAGCATTCTGATCTTGCATCAGAAACTCTTTCACTATTTTCTGTACTGTATCAACATCATAAATTACATCTTCCCCTTCTGGTGCCCGTATCAAAAGATCATTTACAGAAGCCTCTTCCAGTTGTTGTCCTATTCGCCTCACCAGCTGTTCCCTTGATATTTCTCCTGTGTCAACAATGATGGCTGCTTTCAACAACTTCAGCAAGAAACTGCTAGATACACTTCCTTTCTCTGCAGGCAACAACCAGACAATTGTATCAACTGTTGATCGATACTTTACAACATCAACAGAATGGATCACACCCTTACTAAAACCCGGCAACCTTCTGTAAGAATAAGCTTTCAAAGCTTCCCCAACCACTTCATGGGACAGTATTCCTTTGGTTTTAATATTCATTATAACACGCTTGTATAGATCAATTTCAAGTTCACACAAATCCTCAACCCACCAATCCTTTGGCACTGGTCGACTTCTGACACCGTCACATTTAGGATCATTCCCATTTTCCTCTGGGAGCTTCCTCCGGTTATAAGTATAGGACCAATCGACCTTGGAAACATCAATGCAAGCCTTGGTAGCTATAGCATCAATGCAAAGACTGGCCACCTTCAGTTCCTCAGATAATGGTAATAAAGATGTTGTAGTCTGAAGAACAATGATCGAATCCTTCCAGCTGCGGAAGATGCTGGAGTTGAGGAAGACATCAATCTTGTAAATTAGGTTCCCTTTTTCAATGGTCTCGTGCATTCCTAAGTACTCAGCTGCACATCGAGCAGCAACAACATTGTAAGCATTAAGGGTGACGGTCATGCCATAACAAAATTTGGCACATATCTCAAATGCAACTGGACCGCCAGGAACATCAGAAATCTGAACTTCATCACTATTTTCTTCATTACCGCTTGCTACCAACTTTTGCAAGCAGGCACTTTTTGACAGAAGAGGAAACTGCATATATGTTCACCCATTAGCTCCATAAAGTGAAATACCTTTTTATGATTGCAAATGAGCAGAACTGAGCCAAGCTTGCTCAACCTAACTGATCTTGTCATTCTAATTTGAAACTAGAGCACAGCTTAGTTCACGTGTCTTAGATAAAGTCAACAACCAAAATTAGGTAGATTTTACATTTCA